GGGGGGGTCAAAGCTGCGCGTTCCCCTGTCAGCAGATTTATGTATGTCTTGTAAATATATGCTTTAGTTGTTTATCATATTAAAATGTGTTTATTAGGAGTTATAGTTGTGCAGTACAAATCGATATATAGAGGAATTATTTACCTACACTTACGTAAATAATTTTGTCAAATCCTATGCATGACCATCCTCGATACTCCAGGGGTTATACTCACTTACGCTCTTGTAAGGAGCGTAACCCCTGGAGTATCGGGGGTGATGCTTGGTTAGAGACAGTGCGAGATCTGAAGATTGTCAAATCTTGATTTGTAATAAAGCTTTACAAAGAGAAAACATGACTGACTCAATTTCAGTAAAAGGGTTTATGTAATTATCTATCCGTAAAGTAGTGTAAATAATTGATTTAGATGAAACCATTGGTAAGATAATTAAATAATTGACGAGCTCTTCACATCTCCCTTATCTTTGATCGTCGAGTTGCCCCTCCCACCCCGTAACCGTAGCAAGTGGTCAACAGCGTCCCGTGTACAAACATGTCTGCCGTGCTCTAACTGGGAATTATGACGCGGTAGACTGGTCGTCTGGGATTTGTCTGACCAATTTCCATACCGCCTTATCCCATATGTACGTAATTAGTCAAATGATTGGTCAATACTCGCCACGTGATATAGATCTGCTTCCGGTGTGATCTAATCTAGTTCTTCAAATTAAGAATACCCGTTCCGCTGCAAAAGACTGTAATTAAGTGTTAGAAAATGTTTATTCCGTCATAGCTATAGTTTTGATAAATCATTTATGAAAAGAAAACCATACCTTACGGGACTTTTATGAGAAAGAATACAGTTAAAATGAACAAAATATAATCAATAATAGCGTTTTTTGAGTGTAAACATTTGGTAGGGCTAGACCGGGATTCGAAACCCGGACTACAAATTGTTTTGATCGCTCTTCACCGATTGAGCTACCTGGCCATCGGAAGCATACTGCCAAAACTGTTAAGTTACTGTATAAACATAAAGGGGAAACAGTGCAGTGGGACAGTGATCGTTAAAGGTATATGGTATCAATGCATCACACTCGTCACATCTCGGCCGATTCCGTACCGTATTGATGAAGGGTACCGGAATCAGCCGAGGTAAGCCGAATACATTGCATCAGTCATAGGTAGCAGTCTACTGTAGCGTACGATGGCCATGAGTGATATTTTTATACAATGAATAACTCCTGTAATATAGCATGCATCAAAATTTTAAAAAAATATCAGCACTAAAATTGGCATATACATGAAGAAGTGGACTATGTGGGCTTCAAAATTTTTCAAAAAAGAGTAATTGAATTTGGTTTGAGACTACAGTTTTGGGCATTTACAAATCTGTGTCTACACAACAAAAGCTAGCTTTTCATGGAGTCTATTTTTTGTAAATATTGTGAAAAATCCACCGGAATGACCTATGCTAAAACGTGAGTATTTCTGTTACCGAGTAGGCGATATTTAATTTCAGACAGATTTTAAGAAAAACAATTCTACTTGCGGGGGTCAAATTTTGGTTAAAAATCATGATATTTTGCATATTTTGGTGTTTTTTGATGTGTAAACCATGGTTTGCACAAGTCCCAAATCTGGGGAAAACAGATTTGAAAAAAAATCAGTCTTCTAAACAAAATGAAATAAAAATGTAGTTTATAAATATGTATATATATGTAGGTGTGTTGTGCAGGTTGAATTCACTATCCATGTTTATCCGAGACATGCCCTTTATATTTAAGGTCATGCCATTTCTACTGTACACTGCTACCTTAGTCAAGACGGAGAGTTCCGAAGTGATCAGAGATTTGTATGTGTTGACCGAGTATCCCCCTTCAATACAGGAAAATAATATCAACGAAAGGGTGTTTTTTTCTAGCTTTTGAGTTACTTCGAATCACAAGTTTTGTCATAGGCATATCAACATCCTCGATATCCAGGGGTTACACTCACGTACGCTCTCTACACCCCTGGAATCATCCTCGATATCCATGGGTTACGCTCACGTACGCTCTCTACACCCCTGGAATCATCCTCGATATCGAGGGGTTACGCTCACGTACGCTCTCTACACCCCTTGAATCATCCTCGATATCCAGGGGTTACGCTCACGTAGCAAATAGAAGGCTCAGTGTGCAGTACCTTGAAGATGAGACAAGAAGACTAGCTACAGTTCGATCCTTAAATGCACATCAAAAGAATCTCGCGGTGACGTAACGGTAAAAATTAACAGGCTTTGAAGTCGGGCGTCTCTCCTTTGTAATCTTCAAATGACAGGCATCAGACTAGTGATTGGTCAGGTTTTTTACCTGAGACCAATCAAACAGCTATCTTCGTGCCTTCAATTTTGCTATGACATATTACAGGGGTGCAGAGAGCGAAAGTGAGCGTAACCCTTTGATATCGAGCGTGAGGCTTGGCGTCGCGGCCCATAAATTAGAAATTAGCTTTCATGCTATACGATTTTTAATTCTGTAATTAAAAAGATGGCAGGATTGTTAAGTTAATAAATGCATAGTATTCATCATGTGGACATTTCGAGTTCAACCCCTGCAGGTTTTTTTTTAATTTCATGTTTGACCAATTTTAACTCTGTAATGTACAAAATTCATAGCAACATGTGATATTATGGAATACACGTTTTAAAGG